TGGTATCTCTCTCTCTCTCAGATGAAGTATGCTATTGATTTGATATCTCGAGCTCATCTTTTTGATAAGGAGGTTGAAAATACTCCTATCGAGCCAAACGATCACTATACTTTTACTAATGGCACCTTGTTAGATAATCCCACTCGTTACCTCCAGTTGGTTGGGGGTCTCATCTATCTTACTATGACTCACCTTGACATTGCTTATGTAGTCCACATTATCAGCCAGTTTATGTCAGAGCCTCGAACTACTCATATGTAGCAATTCTTTGGATCCTTCGGTACATCAAAGGCACTCTATATCATGGGTTTCACTTCTCTACTAGCTCCTCTCTTACACTGCAAGCTTACTCCGACTCTGATTAGGGTAGTGATCATGATGATTGACGATCTACAACTGGTTTCTGTATCTTCCTCGGCCATTTCCTTATCTCTTAGAGAAGTAAGAAGCAGACGTTAGCTTCTTGCTCCAGTATTGAATCGAAATACCGTGCACTAGTAGACACAACCGTTGAAATACTTTGGCTTTGTTGGTTACTTGACGAGTTAGGAGCATCTCAAAGCTCCTTCATAGACATCTATTTTGATAGTCAAGCTGCAATCAAGATTGCTCATAATGATGTGTTTCATGAACAAACCAAATATATTGAGATTGATTGCCACTTTACTCGTAGCGTGTTGTTAGAGGCACCATCCAACTCGTTCCAATTCGAACCAAGCATCAACCGGCAAACTTGTTTACAAAGTCTTTTCATCCAAGCCACTTTCATTTTTTGATAGACAAACTCAAGTTGCTTTCTGTCAAACCATCTTGAGTTTGAAGGGGATGTTATCTAGAATATTCTCCAAATATTCTATCATTATTATGTATATATCTCAATCATTATTAGGAGATATTATTTGAATTATTATGTAATTATTAATTATTATTAGGTTGTCTTTTTCTTAATGTGTATATTGTACCTTTGAGCTCAATAATAGATAAGATATTTCTCCATATTTCTCTTTCTCTTCACTGTTGTTGTTTTCTTAGGGTTTTCGATTGCAGCAGATATAAGATCAGCCGGTTAGGGTTCTGTTAGCTGCAGATGGCGAACGTGGTTGGGGTAAATGATGGGACATTCAAGGCTAATTTCACGGTTGACGGAGAGTTGAAGCTCAGAGAAAGAGTGACGGAGAAGCTGAAGGAGCTGATAGGGGAATCCACTGATGACATTCTTGTGGATTGCGTTATCATGTTATTGAGGAATGGCAGGCGCAAAGACGAAGCGAGGAATCAGTTGAATCATATCCTGGGGGATGTTAGTGATTCATTCGTGTCCTGGCTGTGGGATCACTTGACCGATTCCCCCAAAAGAATAACATCAGAGGTCAAAGACGAGGGCAATGACAACCAAAATTTGAATTCATCTATGTCAAACTTAAAACTGTTTAAGAAAATATTGATCATCCCATTAAATCTCATCGAAGAACTTAAAAACGGTTCATATATACACGAGTGATGCAGGAAACTAGTATGAGCTGCTGTCAAACTATAAGGAAATCATGGTCTGAAATTGACAGAGCAGCGAAGAAGCCGAATGGCCCTTCAACTCTCAGCACCAGATTTAGAACTTGCAAGTTTTAATTTGGTCTAACTTGATGCCCGGAAACGGATTTAATATTTTTGTTGCGTCAAATTTAATTTGGCGCTGTCTGCATTTCATATATAACCTTTTTCAATTTTTTTTTTCCTTAAAAAATAATATAATAATTAGTCTTCTCCCACTGGGCAGATCGGATGAAAAAATAAACAAAGTAAAAATGTAATTTTTTAAATATGAACTTTTGAAGACAAACACTAAATAAATTAGACAAGGGCTTCGAATTAAATAAAACGACTGATATCTTTTTCTTGTCACAGAAAACTGACGCACAGTTCTGAGCTCAAGGACTACTTAGACTCTACATATGCTGATGCAGCTCAGTATAGTCACTCTCCCTTGTATCCAAAGGGCATCCGCGGAGCCATTGTTGGAGCAGCTAAGAAAACCAGTAATATTCTTGGCCAAATATTTGAAGGTTTTGTCGCCTATATGGATAATAAATCATGCTATGACATGAATGTGTACAATTGTCCTAGTCAAACTAATCTGGGATGGAGATGGCAGGTAACTTATATGGGTCTGAAAAAACTAATCACATTCAATCTATTAAATATCAAGCTTAATCCCCGCCTACTTGGAATCTTTGTTAAGAGTTAATAATGAAAATTGACTTTTATAAACAGACTTGTAGCGAAATGGTCATGCCAATGGATCATGATAAGTGTGATTCAATGTTCCCACCAAAAACTTTCAATATGAAGAGCTTTGTCAAAGAGTGCAGGAGCTTCTAAGGCGTCCTTCCACTGCCTCATTGGGTGACAGCCTATTATGGGGGTCCTGTATGTGTGTCATATATTCAACTCCATGAGACAGTTTCCAATATTTATCATAAATAATATTCCTTCTCCTTGCTAAAAAAAATAATGCTTTCTGATTTGAAATTGCTGGATTTGAAACTGAAACTCCCTAGGTTTGCTAGCAACATCATCTTCTCCAATGCTCTCAGTGATCCCTACAGTACTGGCGGCCGGGTAAAACAAGGAAATTGAAGACCACATAGATACATCATACATGCACGCGCTCGCATGCACATCATTCTGCAGCTTCATTTTTATAGACATCAATCTACCATAATCACTTTTTAATCTTTTTTTCCTTTTGTTTATTCCAAAATGGATTGCAGGGTTTTGGAGAATATATCAGATAGTGTCGTTGCTGTAACCACTGTCAATGGTACGTCACCATTATTATCATTATATATTCTATAATTATATCATTATTATCCTGAGTTCTATACCGCATAAGTTGTTAATTCTTTTAATTAACATGACTGTTTTATAAAAATTTGCAGGATCTCGTTGCCTGGATATTCTTGAAGCAAAGCCAAGTGATCCTCAATGGTTGGTCATGCAGAGAAAAATTGACGTCAAGATAATAAAGGCTGGATTGCTAAGTGCCAAAGCTGACCTACGAACCTTAAATAAACAAAATCGTTCATAATACCAAAACTCCAAAGCTGATCCAGAATTGTGCAGGAAGAGACCATGAACTCCATAATAATGTATTGATCACTTTGCTGGCTCTTTCAAGTGCCGATTAATGGGTATTGATGATATTGATAATATAAAATAAACTGCGGAAATAAATTATAATCATTTTGACCTTGTGTTTCTCTCTTACGCGGAATCCACCAATCGTCAATGAGTGGATTCTGAAAATGCATGACCATGTGTGTCCACGTTGCTGGTGTTTGTGGGGAACAGCGCTCGCATTTATGCTTCCTACAAGCAAACACACTGCCACCTCTTCTCAAGACCATAGAATTTTGTGCTTTTATGTGTGATGTGACGTTGTGAAAAATTTTAATGTCCAATGTTTGCCGAAATTGGTCACCTATGGCTTAGTGTGAAAATGGTTGACCATGTTATTATGCTTAACGCGGAGACGCCATAATAATCATTGAACATAATTTAACAAGTACTGCCATTTTCAAAATAATATCCGGTGCAAAATTAATGAATCCTTTTGTAATAAATTCATTTGAGATGGTTTTAAATGTTATTTTTCCTTTTCCATATTCGAAGAGAGATTAGTTATCCATCATTGGATTCTTATGTCTCACAAAAATATATATTTAATAATAAAATATAATTTAACTCATGACTAAATGAATGAGTTAAAAAATATGGTGAGTTGGCGCAGCTCATGCTTAATCCAACCTAAATATTTTTTATATCTTAAATTAATTATTGGAAGAAAGATTTAGAAAATATTAATTATAGTATCCATAATTTTGAATTGATTACTTTTTATATTAGTAGGGTGGAGAGAGGGAGGACCGGCAGGGGCCACGACCCTCCTAACTTTTTAATTTTTTTAGTAAAATGTAGGGGTTATATATTTTTTTGTTTCTCTACGTTGGCATATTATAGAAGTTATGAAATATTAAATTAAATTTTTATTTTAATTTTATATATAGTCTTTTACATATGTATAGAGAAATTATTTTAGTAGTTTGAAAATATGGTTGTCGTAGAATCTATTCATTTTCAACAAGATAATACCACGCATGCTTTTAAAGTATTGATATCATTTTATTTTACTTTCATTTTATATATAATGAAAGAAATTATGAAAATTATTATTAACAAACTTTGTTAAGCATTGCAACAGAAATCTCAAGACATATTGAATACTATGTACTTGATATATATATATACATATCATAAAATCACTTATCCAAAAGTTAAGAGTTTTGGTGAAGATGTTCTTCTAAAAAAATATTTTTTTAAAATAATCAAACTATTGAAATTTACGATATGAATGAATTTTACTCTGATATGATTAATGTGTGGATATTTTTGTTCACTACAATTATCAATTGAAAAAAAATAAATAGTAAATTCAATAAACAAATAATAGAGGCTTATTACATTGAATAGAATTTTAGATTTTCAATGATATATTTAAATCATTTAATGCTCATAGATATAATGAATTTTTAATTTAATGATAATTCATATTGAGAAGAAAATTGTTAAAACATTTATCGTAAACATAATAACTAATGATTTTTATACCATAAAAAATTGATGAGTAAAATTTAATAGAATATATATATATATATTGTTATACATGTGTGAAATGAAATACAAATATATATGTTAAAATATTTATATTTTGACGGTGATATATATATATATATATATATAAAACTTTTTTTTAATTATCATATATACTTTGTCATTTTAATCTCTTTAACAAAAATTTTTGGCTTCGCCTTTGTCAGTACCTCCTCCTATTTTATCTTTAATCTCAGATAGTTAAATTAATTCATGTTCTCTATATTTATATGTACACATATATCGATACACAAAGACAAAAAGAAATATAGCTGAAAATCCAACACTACATGCTAAAATAACAAGAAGCAGCAGATCAAAGACACGAAGAAAGCTAAGGTTCGCTTCTTAATAAGTGGCCAATCCGTTGACGTACCCACACTAGACGACCCTGATGCACTGGTCAATTTTACAGACACGTTGAAGGACTTCGAGCCTGAATCAATCATTCAAATTAAATTGCATACATGAGATATATTTCATAATTAAATTTAATCACAAAGACTATCGTCTGCTTTATTGTTTAATCCATTTTTCCATGCCAATAGTGAATAACAAAGATAAGTTTTATTATTTAGATGTCTATCATTATAGCCTATACAAAAAAAAAAAGAACCCTTAATTCCATTTTACAGGCGCATTGATAAAAAATTTAGCCGAAACTCACAGTCATAGTCGGCCCATCCGATGCGTTGGCCAGCCAGATCATAAACTATAATCCTATCCTTTAATACAATATCTGCCAAGATAAAAAACAAAATTTCTATATATGAGTATGTATACACAAAAAATTTGAGTTGATAAACTGAAATGGCTTCCAAATAAAGATAATTAATCTCATGTCCTATCAAGCAAAAGAAAAAATTAATTCCATGCACCATTATTTTGCTATATATATATATATATATATCTATCCTGAAAGCAGTATGGGCAATTGGTATTCGAATTAAAATTTCCTAATAGGAAATAGTACCTCCTAAAATAGTGAACCCTTGAGAGCCCTGCATTTTCTGAATGCCAATGCACCACCCTGTTTCACCGTCATTCTATATATCACACATATTCACCGATTTCATTAAGAGATCAATGCACCCGCACATACATATTATATATCTTTCTTCAAGAGTGATTCGAGTAATGAAATATTGTATATAATAAAAAACAATGAAGCTTGGCAATACTTACTAAAGTCATGTGATGCACTAGGTAGTCCTTGGGTTTAAGAACCATAGATGCACCGCCAGCAAAGTTCAAACTTATGTTAGGAAAAACTTCAGATATGCTGAACAACACCAAAAAAAACCAAACACAAAATAAGAGACAGGTCAAGATAGAGTCAATGGCTCAATTCATCTGTAATATACACTATAGCTCAAGAGAAAACCTATTTAATGTGAAGAAACATTGGGATCCATCCGCAACGTAAGTGCCGGCAAGCGATTCTACTGGAACAGCATCCGAAACCTGCATCCAAAGAACATATATATGAACTTTTTTTAATCAATCAATGGAGTTAAAAAAAGAGTTCAAGATGTGTATGTATAATATAAGTAATAATAAGATGAAACTAACCGCGTTGAGAAAGGATTCGTAAACCCCTTCAGGAAGGTATGCCATAGTTGTTCCAGAATCAATAACGGTGCCTTGGTTCGGTAATGTTTGAAAAACCGATGAGTCAATCGCTAACTTCTGGCCTTTCACCTCGATGCCCTTGAGATCTAAATTGTAATGAGGCCTGAAATAATAAATATATATTATATGCATAGATCTTTAAAACAAACAAGGGCTTGGCTCATGCATATAAAGAGCAAGCTGCTGCAGAAAAATTAAAATATACCAGGAAGGAATGAGTGGTGTGAAAACAATATTTGGCTCCACAATCTCACCGAGGACCAAGGTGCCTCCGCCTTGATCATCGCCTCGGAGGCAGTGAGAGAACACTTTTGGCACTAATCCTTTTGAAGAGAGCTGTGATACTACTGATATGTCACCTTGCCCAAATCCTATTATCCCATCCACTCCTCTTTCATTCTTCACCAAGTTGCCCGTCAACTCCTTGCTACATCTGCTCTATATATACAACACACAACACAACATTAATGTTTTAATATATATATATATATATAAATCTGAATGCTGAAGCATTCATCAAAGTGTCAAAAACGGAGGGTTATGATATGCACCCGAAGATGAGAGGTGAAGAACCGTTGGAAATGGCGGTGGCAAAATAAATGAGGTCTGAGACGTAGTAACCAGCAGAGGCACTGTCATCAGCGTACTGGAACGTGTAAGTGCAGCGATTATCACTGGAACACACGGCTTCGGGCGTCTGATATTCGCTGCTGCATATCGCGTCTGAACAAGTTACCGGTGAGTACGTGGATGATTTCCCAGGATCGAAGGAACTGAGCTTGATCTGTAACAATAAGCTAGCCCAATGATCTTAAATGAATAATAGTTATATATATATATATATATATATATATATAATACACAGGATTAGCTTAGCCTTCAACACGAAAGAAATTAAAGAATGATATATAGATTTACTTGAAGTTGGGTTTTGTGGGGACAGCCTGAACAGGAGCTACAGGTGACCCAGAGAGGGTCGCTGCCTGTGTCTACTTGCAAATGAAAATCTCTCGGGGGAGAACCCAATTGCACCTTTGTATAATAAAGCCTGTCAAATAACGCAAAATCAATGTTCATGTCTGATGTTGAATTGAATATTGATCAAATTACTGAAGGCGCAAATAAAATCAATTAATACATGAAATACATCAAAGCATGTGATCGTCATGTGACATATACGAGTAAAACTAAAATCCAGGGTCAGAAATAATCTAGAAAAAAAAAAAAATTACCCGGCTACGTAAGGATCATAGGTGCCCTCGAGTGGGAAATCAGTATCATTGGAAGATTGAATCAACCTTCGATGTCTAGCATGGTCCAGAGCTTTGAGCTCACTCAATTTCATTTCATTTCTCAACGGAATTGCTCTTTCGAGAGGCAGGGTCATCGGAAATTCACATATTACCGTCGTCGTCTGACAAAAAAATAATGCAATGGTGGCCATGAGAATCCCAACGGGAAGAGTCGCCGCCATTCTAACGGAGGAGTTGTATGATCCTCCTTGCTTATTGCCTATTCATGTGAAAAATTAAAACTGAAATTCATACACGAGAATGTGGAGCAGATCAGCAGAAGATGATGATCCGGCTAAGAATGAGTTTTTGGTCCTAATCCCAGGTGCCAGAGGAGGGAAATTCCATAATAGAAGATTCATCAATGGTCCATGTAGAATTACTATTTTTATGATGCCATATTCTTTTTTTTTTTTCCCATTCTTCCCATTTTTAAAGTATAATTCACACTTTTTTAGAAAAATATTGAAAGTTAGCATATTTTATACGTTGACAGGCAATAGCAATTTTTTTCAAATTTTGTCAAAGCTATATGTGCGCGAGCGTGTGCGTGCAGAACAGGTGAAAATTAGTCTGTTTAATAAAGTTTTATAATAAATTGATAAATTTATTTTGAGTTTTAAATAAAAATAAAAAATAATGTTTTTCTTTAAATTTAATAAGTTTGTATATATATTCATTGATGTGATAATAGCGTGTCGCTGACAGCACAGAGTTTCATAATAATAAGAACCTTGATGAAGTTAACCACAATTTCATAACTAATTCAAGAACTAAAATATATTTTTCCTTATATTTTTACTCAAATTTTGAATTCTCAACTTACTTAAAAATCACTAAGCCTCTCTCAGAGTTAAAAGATGGAAATGGCAGGGCTACCTTCATTGTCTTACAGGAAAAAAGAAAAAAAAAAAAAAAAGACACGCACCTCATAGGATTCAACACATGATAGAAGCAAGGTCAGGGGGAAAAAAAAAAAAAGAACTCATGGTAAATCAACATACTTGTCTATAATTCCAATAGAAATTTAGAACTTTTAAAAACAAAGGAATAATAATGTCATAATGTGAATGTCTCGCGCGTAGGCGAATAATTTAAATTCCAAACAATTTCTTTTTACCAGCAAATTTCAAACAATGTAAAAATATGCATAAAATGAATATTGAAATGCATATTTACCAAAAAAAAACTCACTCTTTGCCAAAAAAAGAATTGGATTTGACTGACAATGGTTAACGAAATAGGCTACGAAATGAAGATAGAGCCCATCGCATGTTTTGAATAGCTCCCTCCCTCCCTCTCAAGTAAAAGAACATATAAATTAAAAGGAAAATTTCAGTCAAGGATTACATAGCAGACTTAATTATTGGAGGATCTCAAAAAATTTTAAAACTTTATTTCAGTTTGAAAGGGAAAAGTTAAAATAATTTTGACAATGAAAAGGACTAAAATATCTTTCACTTATTATGCAAAATTACTAGCTATTAATTTTCTTACTTTACGTATTAATTTACCAATATCACTTCAAAATTTTATCCATTTGTCAGATAATCAACAACATTAGTTATTAATTTGTTAACTTTACTTGTTAATTTATTAAAATTAGTTGTAAATTATAAGACTTATTAGCAATTTATAATTCATGTTAATAATTTATAAGACCTATCAGTAATTTATAACTAATGTTAGTAAATTAATCAGCAAAATTAGCAATTTAATTTAACAATTGATATCAATTCTTATATAATTATTAATATGTCGATCCATGTAATTTATAACTCATATTAGTAAATTAATAAATGAAGTAAGAAAATTAACAATCAATGATTCTACATAATAAGTGAAGGATATTTTATTTTTCATCATTAAAATTATTTTAACTTTTATTCCTTGAACTAAATTCAAATTTTAAAATTTTTTAGGACCCACCAATAATTAAGTATCTTCTATGGCCCTTAACAGAAATTCCTTCTATATCAAAAGAGATAAGAAAGAGTTATATACAAGCCCAAAGATTACAACAATAAAATTTTTTTATATACAATTATAATATATATTCAGAATTCAAACTTGAAATTACTAATTAACTTGACATAATTTATTATCAATTGAGCTACACGCTCATTTGTATTACAATAGTAAAGATACATCAATAGAAGATCAAGAAGAGAAATAAAGGTATAAAAAAAAGTAAATTGTCTTGAACCACTTGACAAACTAGACCTAATGATGAATAGCATCTCTTGGCCTTAGGATGTTATCATTTGACCCATTTAATATGTTAGTTTGTGGAAGGTAAAATTATTAATGAGTAATTATCTTTTTCAAAACAAAAACACATTTAAAGCTAAAATTAAAAAATTAAAAAATTAAAAAATAATTTGGTTTAATATTTTTTATGTTAAAAGGAAAATAAAATTTGATTTAATACAGTTTTTTACATTTTTATAATTTTTTATAAAAATTTTATATGTATAAAAATTATTTAAAAAATATAATCAAATTTTTTGAGTTATAAAAATTATATAATTAATTTTAAAGTTTTATCATCTTTTAATAAAAATATAAAATTTTTTAATTTCTTTTTGGATAAATTGACCTGCTAGCCCAAAAAAATCTTGTGCCCATAAAATGTGGCCAAATTTTTAAAAATTTAAAAGTATGACCAATTCATATTAATATATAAGAGGTTTATTATTAATGTACTAGGAATTCATCATTTAAAAATTTATAAAAGATTTATTATTGATATACAACGGTATACCATTGGTAAATATAATAAAACAGCCATAATGCAAAAATATAATAACTATTGAGCTATTTTGTTTGATTTGATCTTCTAACATAGGCTATATCTGGAAAAAAAAACTTCCTTTTTTTAAGAAAAATTCAAGGATTAACAAATCAAATAGATCAAATTATAAGGGTTTTATTAAAATAAAATAAATTAAAAAACTTGATTCAAAATTAAAAAAAAGGAATAAAACAACTTTTAATACCTTACTTTTGGAGATTTTATTATTTGTGTCCTTCGACTTTCATTTTTATCATTTTATTCCTTAACGTTTTGTTCTGTCATCAAGTTACTTTTTTAAATTTTATAAGACAATAGCTCTAAAAAATAGTTATTGTGAAAATTAAATTATTGACGCGGAATATATGCATAAAGTAGATAAAACACACTAGTCAAATTTATCAAATATTTATTGTTGATCTGTTATTTATTTTATTATTTTATATGCTTCAATAGTGAGGGAACGACTTGCAGACGACTAGTGAGGGAAGACTCTGCACCGCGGGCAGCTCTTGATGCTGAAACATGGTTCTACAACTTCGTTTATCGTTATTTCGGCAGCAGCTTCGTTTTTGTCTTCAATGTCTGCACTGCGGGCAGCTCTTGATGTTGAAACATGGTTCTTTTTTGTTGTTCATGACTTTTCAACGCACAAATGATTAACTAAAAGAATTCTAAACAATTACAAATGATTAATTAATATTTTTATTGCTCATGACTTTTCAACACACAAATGGCAACTTTCTACGACGGTGCATTGGGATTCAATATAGCAATGCATATTGAGCTATTTTATCAAATTTTATATTGAGCTGTTCTATTAGATTTTATATTTCCCATTTTATATGAGGACTACAGTCAGCGGTGATCCAATGGAGTTATGGAGCAAAGTAACAAGGCATAAAGAGCAGTGGTGCTTTCTGTCCATAGAAATAACTCAGTTTGCTGCCGCTTTTCTGTGCTGTCTATCCATAGAAGTAACTCAGTTTAGTGATACTTCCAGCATGCCAAAGACAAATATGAGAAACAGCAATATACTGCTCATTATATCTGAACTAAGCAATATACAGCATATTGTAATGTTCTATGAAACAATTAAAATGGTAGTACGTACTGATATGAGCAGCTAAGAAAAGGACATGGAAAATAAAATGCAATACATGTCGCCGAAGTTGATAATAACACTATTTTCTCTCATTTTAGTTTATGCTTGCATGCATTGGAAGATTAGTAAGGCTATTGTCAGTAGTGAAGATGTAGGCATAAAGTATACAAGCTTGTGAGTAAAAAGCAATTTCATTACTAAAAAGTAAGCTGCACAGGTGCAAAGAAGAGATAGGGATTTACATCAGAGCTTTCAAAGTAAAAGCCACTATTTGTGGTCCTAGGCTTTAATTATAAATCTCATTTTGATAATCAAGAATAAAAAATAGTAAACAGACTTCCATTTTACATCATATCAAAGTCAAATTGTCATTGTACATTAACTTAAATATCAAAACAATGGTAACAGCCCCACACCAGCATCATAATTACAAGCCGGGTTTACTAAATCCTACAAGTTTACACCAGCCAAATTATGTTTTGGTTCAATTTCCAGATCAGCAAAACCAAAACAGAGAAACAAGCCTACATCTTACGTTTTCCAAATCAGGAAAAGCACAACAGTAGCAACGATGGCACAATCCATCATCTTCACCCTTCTCTTATACTCCTGAATAATCCCCTTTGTTCCTTGATAATGTCCATCGTAGCCTTAGGCATTGGTTCATAAATCCAATCAAAGAAATTACAGTGAAGAGCGTATCGGAGTTCATCTCAGTTCTGCAGTAGATAATAGAGATGAGGCGCATCACAGTTCATCTCAATTCTACAACAAATAATATTTCCAATCATCCATTCAATGTAGATGAGGCGTATTAGAGTTCATTTCAGTTCTGTAATGCAATGGTTACGGTCACAGAGATGAGACGGAGAAGAAAAGACTAAGAGCAGACAAGTTTTTAGATCACTTAACCATACAGTACTGACCACTGGTGCCACGAAGAGAGACGTTTAGATCTCGCATTTAAAATCTGCTTCTTGATTCTAAATTCCTATTCTTTCTATAATTTGTATACATATATATTAATTATATTGAATATGATGAGATGGTTATTTAATTAACAACGACTTATATTTGTATGCAAAATTCTCATTTATATTCAAATTGAAATGTAAAGGCCTTAAGGAAGTAGCGGGGTCTAGATTTTCCTACAAAAGCTTCAATCCGATGCTACTTTTGTTATTTTGTTCTGCAGGCCCCTCAAAATTATCCAAGATAAATCTCACTGACATCATGATACCATAACCAGTAACATGTAGTTTTCGAGTCATATACCATGAAAT